GAAGTTTTTTAGCGTATTGCGCGATCGCGGCCGCCATTAACGAATCGATTCGTAATCGATTCGTAATTGTTTCGTAATTGTTTTATGATTTCTGAAATTTCGTAAATATCGAACTTTTTTAAGGAAAATTTCGGAATTCTTTTAAATAACGAAACGCAAAAAACCCCTAAAAACGAATCAAGTTTAGAAACAAATTTTTCCGTGTTTGGACAGCCCTAGTGGTTAGCATACATATGCAAATTCAACACTCCTTATTCGAAATGCTTGGGACCACCAGATATGTTCTGGACTTTCAGTTTATTTTATCATTATTGCCGTATTTTTTCTAGTTTGGAATATCTCTATTTGCATATACATACATGATGAGATTACTTGGAAATGGAAGACAAGATTAATCATGAAATCCATTGAAGTGGTATGTAGACCTCATGCCCTCTGACTCAATTAAAATTCTTACAATAGTTCCAATAATTTTGTGCATAAAACAAAAATAACCCTATAATATGCCCATCCAATTAAGTCCTTCTCCTTCTCTGCTGACTAAAACTAACAAACTCTAAACAAACACACACAGTTTTAGACAATTTTAGATTTTGGAGTGATTTGGGTTTCAGGATAAAGGATTCTCAACCTGTATCTAACTGTATGAGAATGAAGTCCATGTATGCATTGGATAATTTAACAAATATTGAAATCCTATTATTAGCATGGAGTCCCCAGTAGAGCAGTGGGTTAAACCATTGAGCTGTTGAACTTGCTGACCGAAAGGTCATCGATTCAAATCCAGGGAGTGGCGTGAGCCCCCACTGTTAGCCCCAGCTTCTGCCAACCTAGTACTTCGAAAGCATTCAAATGTGAGTAGATCAATAGATACCGCTCCGGCGAAAAGGTAATGGCACTCCATGGCAGCCACATGGGCTTGGAGTTGTCTACAGACAACACTGGCTCTTTGGCTTAGAAATGGAGATGAACACCAATCCTCCAAGTGAGACACGACTGGACTTAATGTCAGGGAAAAACCTTTACCTATTAGTAGCATATCGAGGTCTAATCCAACCTTATGCTTCCATAGGTCTCTTTTTGGCCAATACAGAGGTTGGAATCCCCTTCTTCCTATTCACTAGACAAAACAGAGAGATCTACCAGACAGTCACAGCCACACTCTTCTAACCATTCCATGCCTGATAGAAAGACATAGACAATTGGAGAAATGACTCGCTGTATCCCAATAGGCAGATACAAAATGACTACATGATCCACTAGGATTTCCAGAGGACCCCAGCAGATTTCAGGTCTGGTTACAAAGAGGTAATCAGATGCTTCTCTGATCATCCACTACTTTTAAAATCATGGGATAGCTTGGGTGGATGGGGAACTACAGTGACTTTATGGTCGATTCAAGGTTCAATGAATGAGCGGATGTAGTGTGGATCTGCCTGTGAAACTACTACATTACGCTGGACAACAGGTCATATGGAGAGTTCCATATGGAACAGACAAATAGCATCAATTCACAGGTAATTGATTCAATGTGTCTATTCTAGCAAATATTAAGTATTAGCACTTCAGAGGTGATTCTGTGCAAAACTGGCATGTAGTATTTTTTGTGCAGAATTTTCTGCACAGAAAACTGTTTTTTCTCTCTCTGCGAAATTTTGTGCGGGAATACTACTTTCAGTGCAGAAAACACTGGTCCTGCGTGAATTTTATGCAGAGTCAAAGGTTCTTGGTCAGTCCAGACTTTTTTCTCACCAGCATTTTCCAACAGTTGAGAAACATATTATTTATCACTTTCAAATATTATTGAATATTTATTCCAACACTACTGGACCGACTGCAGGGGAAGCAAATTTTCCCTGGGGTCTGAGGTAACCTAGTTTGATTTTAAATGAATTAAAATGAATCAAACCTATTTGTGCCACAGAACTATCCTCTAAAATCACTATCCTCGAAATCCAGAATAGAACAGCAACAGCGCCATTTCTCTGCAACTTCTCACCACCTGCTTTTCCTGTTAATTCCCTTGATTTAAAATGCAGTTTGTCATGGAACACAGAAATAGAGGTGGGCATGATTTTTATTTTAACTAAAGGACATATGGAAAATCTATGAGCATGTATCCACTTCTTTCTACCAATATCTTTCACATTAGCAATTGCACAGATGGTACATAGACTCCCATAGAAGGAGCAAACCCATCACTGACCACATTTCTTTCAAGAATGTGTTGTGTGCACTTGTTTTTGCCAGTCTGGCTGGAAAGAATGGAGTAAAAAACATGTGCCCATTCCTACCCATCCCCACATCCTTACCCACAACCTCCCTCCAACTTCTTCTATAATGACTATAATCATGCTGCTGGGACTACTACTTTTCTCTGCACACAAGGCTGTTATTTCATAGTGTGGAAGATGCAATGCAATGTGAAATACAACCCTTCCTGCATTCTTTGGTGGTGCCTGTTATGGTACCAGGCATCAGATGGAGGGGAAAGCAAGCTCACCAGATGTTTATCTGGATTTTTAAAATAGGCTGCTTATAAATAGCAAAGAGCTTCACTTTCCAAAATTGGTAGTTATAAGCCTAGGGAACTGCTGTGGCAAGTTTTACTTGCTCTTTATTCTCATGGCCCATTGGAGATGACACACATGAGGAGCCACATTTGTAAGACTTCTGAAGTACACTTCAAGGGGATGGAAAGGAAAGCTGTTCTCCTACTGATCTTTGGGTTCTGTGACTAGTTAGCTTAACTGAAGAAGTGACTTTGTACCTTCAAATATTTTGAATATTTGCTAAGTAGCAATTTATGTCAGAAGCCAAATCAAAAGTAGGCATAGGCATAGCTATCATTAGGTAAGTGCATCTGGCGGGGATGAGAGACAGGGCCTTCTCAGTGGTGGCCCCTCAGCTGTGGAACTCCCTTCCTAGGGATATTAGATTGGCTCCCTTCCTCCTGACCTTCAGAAAAAGGATAAAAATTTGGATTTTCGAACAAGTGTTTGGAAATGCAGCGGAATAAATAATTATGAAATAGGAAGCATGAATGACAGGATGACATTGGTGATTTATGTTTTTAATGGTTTTCTATGGTTTTTTATAATATTAGGTTGAATGTTTTTAATTGTATTTTTATGAATGTATGGCATCAAATTAAACCAATTCTGATAGCTGCCTTGAGTCGCCATAAGGTTGAGAAAGGCAGGCTACAAATGTCGCATATAAATAAATAAATAAATAAATAAATAAATAATATGTTGGGAGTGGTTCTGGCCTCTCTTCTTCTGTCCCACCTCCTCTTTTTATCCCCTTCCTTGCCCTCTTTTCTTCTCCTCTTTCTTATTTGTCTTCATCATTTTCATCCTCCTCCATCTTTTCCTTTCTTTTTCTCTCCTCTTCCTCCACCTATCATTTTCACCACTTTCTTCACCTTCCTGTTTCCTTCTTCCTCTTCTCCTTCTCTCCCATCTTTCCCTCTTTTTCCTCCTCCTCTTTCCTCTCTTCTCTTTCTTCTTCCTCCTTTCCCCCTATTTTGTTTGTCCTTCATCTTCCTCCAACTTCTCTTCATCCCCTCTCCTCCTTCTACCTCCCTTCACCCTTTCCTTTTCCAGATAATGCTGGCATCTGCTTTACTTCCAGTTGTCACCATAGCAGACAAAAGGGCAGCAATGGCCATTTTCACAAAAACCCCAATTATATTTCTCATCTCTAGGCCACCAGAAGGCCAAGTCAGGAAAACCCAGGCTCAGCTTGAAGTTTCTTCTGGCTGTTCTTATGATGTTTGCCAGATTCCAGTTAATATCATGGCTTTTACAGGGTTAAATATATTTATTATTTATTTATTTACCATATTGATATACCGCCTTTCTCAGCCTGAAGGCGACTCAAGGTGGTTTACAATCAGCATAATTCAATGCCCCCAACAACATAAAATATAATTTAAAACATTGGCTGACAGTCCAGAGTTGGTTAGAAACTTCAAAGTATTCCACAACTGGAAACTTCGAAGTATCTCACTTTGGGCAAAGTCAAGGGGATACTCCAGAGTTTTCTGGAAATTCTGAAGTATACCACAGCTTCAGATAAATTTGGACTACAGGTCTGACCAATTCATTGTCCAAATAGAACAGCAGTTGTTCTCAGGACAGGCCACGGATTTAGTAGCCAATGTAGAGTCCCCCTTAACTATGCTTCTGCATTGAAATCCTTGACCAAATTCTACTTGATCCCCTGATGCTACATAAAGACATCTCTCTTAATCAGGACACAGATTGAAGAACCTCCAAAAACTGCTTCTTGATTCTGTGATCTCATTGTAGAAGAACTTCAGGGTACTAGAACTTTAGCAGAGAAAACATTTCTGAATGGTATCTTAAGGAAGGGTGGATGTGAGTGCCATAAAAGAAAAAAAGGCTCCAGAATAAAACCTTAAGGGTAGAAGGAAAAGAAACTAGCCTAATATTATCAATGGAGAGGTAGACCCTGGGCTTACTATTTACCTTGATGCTTCACTGTTCTTTTGAGAACTTGTTCTATGTGGCTCTATTCCTCATTATATCTTCACAAAATAGGTCAAGTGTAGAGAGGCAGAGAGAGATTGGTTTTGCCAAGGTCACCCACTGCATTTCATGGCTCAATGAGTATTAAAACTGGTGTTTTTCAAGTACTTGTCTTGTGTCCTATCCATTATATCACACTGGTGCTCTTCAAACCAGAAGGCAAAATATTTTTCCAGCACAACAATGCATAACAAATATAGCTTCTTTTGTTTATTAATATACAGACATAGAATCAACAATCTTTGGAGTGCCTTAAAAATCTATATTAAAACTATATTCACAAAGGCTGTGCAGAAATTGGTTTTGTGTGTGACAGACTGGAAATGTTTGCCATAACAGTTTTTCAAAGCTAGTATTTTCACATTTCCTTCAAAATGTAAAACACAAGGAGAAATTGAACTTCAAGTTATCTTTCATTATTTATATCCTGCTTTTTTAACTTACCATTTTCTTGCCTTTCAGGTAGAACAACAGGTGGACACACGCTGGGGATAGATGCTATAAGAAGTGGGGAGAAGGAAACAAAAGACAACACATTATACATCATGCAAAAGTGTTCATGGAATAATTAAACAGACAGGAAAAGGTGAAGCCCTTCTAACTGGAAACTGGTTATAAATAAAAGACAGATATATTACTTTTCTGGACTATAACCACACATTGTGCTGGCTAGTTGTGGGCATTTTGGCCTTTCAGTTGTTTTGGACAGAAGCACCTATGTGCCCTCGCAAGCTTCTGAGAGGTAAAGTTCAAAACATATAGAAAATCAAGAGTGCATCTACACTGGGCTTCTGTGAGTTACATCTAAGCCATTAAATTAATGCAGTTTTAAGCCACGTGAACTGCCTTGGCTCAGTGCTGTGGAATAGTGGAAGTTGTAATTTTACAAGGTCTTTATTTATTTAATAATTTACCATATTTTTATCCTGCCTTTCTCACCCCAAAGGGGACTGAAGGCAGCCTTACAACAGACAGCAATTTGATGCCATACACACATATATGGTACCGGGACTGTAGCGCAGCTGGTTGGGAGTCAGATGCATTAAGATCACTACTGACCAAAAGGTCATGAGTTTGAAACCAGCTCGGGTTGGAGTGAGCTTCCGACCAATTTGTGTAGCTTCATGTCAACCTTTGCAGCCTGAAAGACAGTTTCATCTGTCAAGTAGGAAATTTAGATATTGCTTATGAGGGGAGGCTAATTTATGACGCCATAAAAATACCCAGCAAGCATGCAAAGAGTGAGGAAGTACTTAATCAGTGTCACAAATGGACAGTGAAGAGACAGCTCCCCTGATAGCCAGAATATGCTCATAAAAAAGCTGGAATGTTAAATAGCCTCTGTGTGTCTGTCTATATATGTTGTGTGTCTATGGCATTGAATGTTTGCCATGTATATGTATATTGTAATCTGCCCTGAGTCCCCTGCGGGGTGAGAAGGGTGGAACATAAATACTGTGAATAAATAAATAAATAAATAAATAAACAATTACAATTAAAAACGGAATTATTAAAATCAACAATTAAAATCACGCCTATTAAAACATAATCTAGGACCATTCCATTTGTCAATCACATTGTTTCATCGTCCCTTATTGCACTGCTCCAATTACTTGTCAAAAGCTTGGTCCCAACGCTGTGTCTTAATTTTTTTCCTGAAGGTCAGGAGAGAAGGGCTGATCTGATTTCATTGGGGAGGGAGTTCCATAGCCAAGGGGCCACCACTG